GCGCTCCGCGTGCTCTCCCATCCACGCGTGCAGCATCGCCGAGAGGAGCATCAGCAGCGAGCACCAGTTCCAGAGGTGCTGGCACCTGAGCCCTGGATCCGGCAGGCTGGGCTCCGGCTCCCCGGTCACGCACTTGGTCCGCGTCGTCACCCACGACACCCAATTGACCTGCTCCCAGTACCAGGAGCAGTGGAACTTAGAGCCCGCGTCGCATGCCTTGGGGATGTCGAAAACGAATAAGAATGCTGCGAGCTTGACGGCATGCATGGGGTAGTAGAATCTGACGGGCATGGGCAGCGCCAGGGTGGGCAGCAGGAAGACTAGCATGGCGAGCAGGGAGGAGCGGCTGTCGGCGGTTCCCGATCCCATCGTCCTCGCGGCCACCGCCACGGCGATTGCAAACCACACCACCGACGTCAAAATCGAAACCCGCCACAGCTCCAGCCTGTCGCGCGTGGGGCGCCGCAACTTGGGCAGCGCCGAGCAGAGCACGTAGAGGACGTCGCCGGCGTACAACAGCCCCAGCCGCAGGCCGAGGCCCCCGCCGTCAAGGTGCCGGAAGACGAAGGCGCCCAGGCCGGCTTGCAGGGTGACGCCGGTCAGCCACAGGTTGAAGCGGCTGGGCGCCTTGTGGCGCGCGAAGCCCGCCTCGGGCAGGTCGTTCCGAAAACGCAACCACACGGCCTCCATGGCCCGGAGAGGCCGGCCTGAAGCGGGGGCGTCGCGACACCCCAGAAGTCTTGGAGATGCTGCCAGTGAGGCGGGCGCGTCAGCAAGAAAACTGGTCCGGTGCAGCAACGGTCGGGCGAAAGGCTAAGCGTCTAGTCCCCAAGCAAGGGCTTTCGACACGCAAGCGCACGCAAGCCGAAGGACACGAATTCCACTCGTTTCGTGTGATCGCGTAACGTGTGGGGCAAAATCGCCCTTTCGAGTGCCAAGGATGCGTCGTTCGTGTTGCGCTTGAACAAGGAAAAGGGCCAGCTTCAATGGAAAGAGAGTGAAACTCCAGGTCCAGAGAAGGCTGAGGCACCATGTTCAATAAGATAGAGGCCAAAGTTGGAGTACACACTATGCTGTATCCAGCAAGATGCCAGCTAGATTTTTGGTCAAACACCTTGATCATGTGATACACGATCAGCTAATGAATTTTTGATTAGGGGACGTGGGTGGGCGCTTTGGATGTGCCAGGCGCTCTTGGCAGGACCGGAAGGCAAATCTGTTCATGGTAGTCGGCCTGCTTCGCAAATGCTCGCCTCGGGCAAGAATTCCGAACTCGGTTTCGAACGTACGACGCGATGGCCTCCCGCGCTCCAATCATCATCATTATCACCATCACGATTTTTTACAGAACAAGGCAATGAGGTAGCCGTCAGCTTCCTATTTTGCCTGAGCAAAGCAGAGTCGGTGACTTGTTCATTGAAATCTAATGAGAAATACAAACCAAATCTATGATTCTATGAACTCTCGATGCATAGAAGCGATAATCGATGGTAATACATCAAACGAAGTGTGTTCGCAAGCTGGCGAGCTGGAACTGTAGCAAAAAGTACTTTTGTACTTCGCGCTTCAATCAATATGGCAACGTCGCAGACAGAGGCAACATGACGTGCATCAACTCCCTGCGCTCCAGCGAGAATACGCGAGTCCCTCTGTCCTTTCCGTGAAGATCGATCTTCTTCCCCTGACAAGGCCAACGCCGGTTAGCAGTTTTAGGGTTTGAGGTGTCCGGAAAAAGAACGGATCTTCACTGAAAAGACGGAGCGACTCGTTGCGGTTTCAGACCCCCAGTCGCCACCGCAGACGCCGCAGCGCGGTTGGCCGCGACCTGGCGCGAACTGGACGCGCTCCGCGGCGGTGCCACGAGGGCGCAACAGCGATGACTAACGACCTCCGAGCACCCCGTCATGCTTGACGTCGGACCGTGGTGGTCTGTGGGCAGCTGTGAGGGGTACACTTCGGCACCAGTCCATCATCACATCACGGGGGGCTTCGCTGCGGAGAGGAGCAACCGCACGCGCGCCAGGACTGCGGGCGATTCCGGTGACGTCCCAGGGAGCCCTCGCGCAAGGGGCGCAAGAGAGCCGCTCGCCGACGCTTGCTGGGACGGGCGGGGCAGTCGGAGCGGGCCTGCGAGAGTACGACGCCCCTCGGGGGAAGTCCATCGCGGCTCGGCGACCGATTGCGTGATGCCGCTTTAACAGGTGGGCGGGGGGGCCGTGGCGGGGATTGGGTAGGGCTTGCTCGCCCACGCGGGATTCAATACGGCCCGATGTGCGACATGCCTGTGGGCGGTGCGATTGGGTGTGTTCCACAGACGGGATCGACCAGACCTTTGCGTAGAGTTGACAAAGTGAGGACAAAGAGTGCGGTGCATGGACCCTCCCCCAGGGCTTTGGCCTTTGGCCTTTGGCCGGCCGGGCAATCGCTTGAAAGCGAACGCGACCTGCTGGTCTCCCCCTGGCGTCTCCCCCTGCGTTGATGATGCCGTGGTCGGCGATCGACGCCCTGCGCTCGGCCCGGAGGACGGCTGCCGGCGGCTTTGGGCGCCTCCAGCTGCGGAGATCCTACGACAGAGATGTTTGGGTTCTGTGGGCGACTCGGCGGGCTGGGGTGGAGTGGGAGGCGGGGAAATTTCTTGGCGCTCGGAGACTGCTCCGCGGAAACTGCCTGCCAAGGGGCCGCAGCGATTGTGGTGCCGTGGCGGCGGGAATCGCGGACCCGGAGGCGCCGGACGGGAGCATGTGCTGAACTGAGCGGCGGCCGTCGAGCGCTTTCGCCGCGCGCGTGGGTTGCGTCGAGAGGAAGGCGGCAGGAAGTTCATTCCGTCGCTGCCGTGTGCGGATGCGTGCCCTCACCCCCCACACCCAGCTCCAGCCCAACGGGGCTAGAGGCGCGTGATTGACGCCGGCAACGCTTTTTCGGAAGCCGGCAATGACTATGATGAGCCAGTAATTCTAGCCTGGGGGCGAAGTGCTAAATCTGTTCTAGAAACTGAGGTGGGCAGCACATGGGTGCCAAAGATGTGTGTCCCGTGTCTGAGTTGGGAGCCTGACCAATGCTGGTGGGCCGCGGATTTTCGGCCCCAGGACTTTGGGTCATTTCCTTTGCTGCGTGTTAGAGCCGTAGGTCTCAAGGACACAAGCACGGGACACAGCCGCCTCGGCAGCAAGCTGTTGTCATCCCTTTTGAAACTCAAACACACGCCAGTCCCATCATGAGAAAGGTCCTGGGTCTTCAGAGCATCCACGCTCGACAATAGCAGGGATGACTGTTAAGATAAAGTTCTGTCCAAACGTAACAGGAAAGAAACGTGCTGTGTGCCTTTGTGTGTGTCCGTAGCCTCCAGAGTGTGTGATAAAAAGCCACAAATCCATATCTCAGAATGGGGTGCCTGTATTGCGACTCGTACATATCAATCGGCATCTTGGCTCCTGACAACTGAAGAACGGAGACCAGTCACCTGTGGGACCACAGGGCAAGGCTGAGCCACAGGAAAGGAATGGACAAGCACCATTTGCAAGAAAATTGTCCAAGGGTTGTGACACCTGGTGAACATGCCAAGCCAAGGTGCAAGTAGGAAAGCATGGGTATGCATGGCATCCTGCTGCCCATCCGGTGCCACAGGCAGCATCCTGCACTGCTGCGAAGGAGAATGGGCAACGTCCTTCTCTTGTGAAAATGCTGCACAACCCCTACATTTTAGCACTTGCTTGTTTGGGGCTCAGCGTCGCCCTTGCTGGGCAGTGAATGTAGTGCTGTTGAAGCAGCATCGCAGTTTGGCTGGTGGGTGCTTCAGGTTGCTTGCCTGTGGTGTAAATCGACATTGGCTGGTTGTCAGGTTGTGTTGAATCCCCTTTGTTCCTGCCTGATGTGCTCTGCCACCTCTTGATGCTGCTGGGTTGGGAGTTTCCAGGACCACTTGGTGAATGGATGACTATTTCCCTGCACCCAATGTGTGGTGACACAGTGGTCATGACATGTGCTCCCGTTGAATCCACATAATCAGACAACTGCTTTGGAAAACAGGCCACAGTGACCTCATAGCAACGATTGCCCCTTCCTCGACCCCATTACCTGCTGGGCACTGTACACGGTTCCGAAAATTATTCTGCAAGGCAATTGCAGAAATATGATGCTGTCTGTATCATCATATTCTGTGGCAGCAACCGACACAGCCACTTCGTTTCTGCAACTTCTATCCAACCTTGGACTGTCCCAAAGTGGCAGAGTATACACTACCCTTGTGTGCTAAGGGGCAGTGCCATGGTGTGCAGTTTGTATCTGACACTGTCCCACGCACTATTTTGAGAAGAAGCACATAGCACGGCAAGCTGTACCATCCTGTTGGCGGTATTTTCGTTGCATTCTTGCCATGATGAGAACATGAGAGGTATCTGAATCGCTTGTAGGCAACGTCCATTGCATGTCATGCTGTGTAAAACCAGTTGCTTGGCCGCTGCTTTGAATCGCATTGCAAATAAAGACATGCTGAGTTCACTCCCTTCCACGATCTGATGTTCCAGTATATATTGGACCAGTGTACTGTCTGGACCAGTACTGGTCCAGTGTATGTCCCCAATTTCATTCTCCAGTTTATGTCGGATAACGCTGCATGTGTCAGGATTGATCGACATGCCATTGTGAAGACACTTGTGCGCAGTGTTGAACTTGCCTGCTTGTTTCAGGAAGTTGCTATGAACATGGTATACCTGGATTGTATTCACCATTCACAGCAGTAACAAACATCTGTAGAGGGCTCGAAACCCACTCTATCACCACATGCCGCAGTGCTTTCATATGTGACAGCAAATCGGATTCAGAAGGTTCCCACAGCAACATGGCTGATCGTTGAATGCTTCTGATTCCTTTCAACTTGTTCTCAATCATTCTGATATGCTGTGATTCCTAATGATCCACTGAGCCATTCACTGTAGATGTTGAAGCATCTATTTCAGCTGCTAACCAGGCTGGAGGACCTGGGCCTCCGAGGTTCGCCAAAGATGCATCTGGTTGGCCGCTGTTGGGTTTGCCTGCCTGCCCTGCTCTTGCTTTCCCTCCTTGGGACTGCACTTCAAAGCACCTGGGCCACTGCTGATGGGGATGCCCCATTCCACATCTGTGTCTCCCATTTTCCACCCATGGTTACGTGCGATCCCTCCGGGAACATCAGCACATACACTGGCTATGAGATCGACATGATCGCAGAGCTCATCAAGACAATGCCCCCGAGGGAGTATACATATTCATGTGTCAACTTCTCATTTGCGGTCAATGAAGATCTGCTGAAGAAGGAAGGCTCTGTCTGCAACATGGTTGCTGCGGGCATAACAAGGTCCACTGAGAGGGAGTTGAAGGGCATCCAGTTCACTGACCCAACATATCGAGCCAGCCTGGCCATCATGACTCTTGGTAGGTGCCCCAAACAACTGGATCCACTTTCAAGAAATTGCCCGTTTCGTGGAGTGTCCATGTATGGAAAGCATGGCGTGAGGGACAAAAGCATGCACAACCAATTCTCACTCATATGTATTGGTCATGCATTTTTCCTGGGTTTCAGCATGTAGATTGTTGTCAGCACTGCGAGCACTGGATTCCATTTGCACTGGGGAGAGCTATGAACTGTCCAGGGATTTCCAATGCGGACTGGGTACACTACTGAGACATGAGATTACTTCCCTTTGGGTTTCCGGGATTCTGGGGGAGGGGCTCTGTGCGACAATGAACAACATTGAGCAACACTGGTCTGGAATTCATGCCCAACATCGCCTCTAAGGTGCAAGGGCAGTGTTCGGTCACGTTTATGTGACAGATGTAATCAAATGATTTGAGCAGTGTCCATACATGTTTAAGCGGTGCTAAACTGTGGAGAATCCCATATCAATCATATACCATGTGTTTGAACTGAAACAGACAGACCAATGAGTGTATGCTCATTCTTCATGCTGCCCTATTCTATGTGCCACTCTTTATGCACTCAGGAAATGCACATTCACAGTGTGGAAGGGGGTCTCACCTCATTGTTCTTGAAGTGGGTGCCCTTTCTGAACATGTGCACAGCTGTGCAAGGGTAAGGTAGCTTTCTTTGCGCTAAAATGCAGTCCTTGCAAGTGCAAACTTCAGAATTGATTGCAAGCACTGACAGGTGGCACAATTCTCCACCGCTGTAGTGCATACTTGCTGTGTTGTTGCCGCAAAGCTTGAAACATTGTTGGTGGCTTCTGGCATCACAATACACCGGCACCCTCATTTTTGTGCCCTTACAAGTGAAATGCATATGGCCACGCCATCTTCTGTCCAAAAATTTATTCCTCAATGGCTTGCTCCTGCCTACCCCTTGTTGGGTTGCCGATTAGTAAAGTGTCATATGGCAGTGTCATGCTGCCAGCTGTGTTGATGCCTTTTGAACATGTGGCCCGGGTTGGCCTGGCTTTCCAGGACCAAGCTCAAAAGTCAATCCAGGAGGGAAACATGGACAGTGTGCCCCTCCACAGAACACAAAAGGCGCTGTTCAACTCATCCCCTTGTCAAAATACATGTCTTCTCAGCAATGAGTGTCGCCGTGTCACTCCCTTCTGATAGTACTCTGCAACAAAATGACAACCTGGATTCTCATCTATTAAGAAGAGACCAGGATTGCTCACATGAAACTGCAGTGTCTGTGCTTCACGCAGCCGACAGGCATGACCCCTGAAAGAACGTCGAAGTAGTGCAATGCCCGATGCACAATGCAGCGTCTAATCTTGTACAGTAGTTTTGCAACCAGTGATTTTGACCTGCAATCAACACTGTGCAATTCTATAATCCAGCCAGATTGAAGGATGCCTCTTGGTGGGGCTTCTTACGGCCCCTGCACTGGAGCGTATGGGCGTCGATGATTGCCACAGCCTTCCTCGTCCCCTGGTTCGTCTTCGTGGTGGAAAGCCTGGCCTGCCATGGCTTTGTGCACAGGTGCATCTTGGTGCATTCGGCGTCTGACATATCTCCCTTCTTGTATGGGCCCTTGCGTGTGTGTTGCCTGTGAAGCTTGGTTCGTTGCATGCATTTTTCCCTTATATGTGGACACCACTGCTTCCTCCTGAAGCAGGGCGTGGAGTTGGTGACAATTTTCCTAAAAAGGAGTACCCAGCATGCAGCTTGTTCTCTTATCTCAGCAGCATGACTCACACAGTTGGGTAGTGCTGCTTGCAACCTGGACTCGATGTCAAGGTGGTGGTAGTTCTGCGCGATGATGTGCATTGTCCACAGACGGTCAAACACTTCCTGGATGACGGTAGTGAAAATTTGTGCAGTGCGAGGAAAGGACATCGAAGGTGTTCATGAGAGGGAGTCCAGTGAAATTGTAGTTCTTGAAAATTCTTTGGTTTGCACGCAGTGGGGATTGGCTGCAGGGTCTCAAGGATGCTACCTATGACAGCATTGCCGCTCTTGTGAACTTTGGCCACTACCGAGTGAACTCCACTGCTGCCCGCACTGTGGTTATGGCCTATGGGTTTCTGGTCCTCATCATCATCAATACATATGTGGCCAACCTGGCAGCATTCCTGACGATCTCGCAGGTGATTTCCGTTGGGGATTGCTAACATGGAGACCTGTACTCTCCAAGCTGCACATGGTGCCTGCAGTTTGCGCCATAATGTGTGCATCATATTCATGGATGTAGGTTGCCTCAAACTGCATTCCGTATTTGCTTGTTTGCCGATTGTGCAGGTGGACCCACTGATCAATGGTGTGGACGACTTAATGAACATTCCAGGCAAGAGGGTGGCTTCGATCGACGTGTACAAGGAGAGGCTCTTGAGGCAGGGGATCCTTGCAGTGATTGTCAGCCAGGTGGGGCCTGTATTGTTGGTCAGGGTTGAGCAAATGGAAGGCAGCATACTGGGCTGGGCTATCATTTTGAAATTTCAGTGTTACTATGTTTCTCTGCAATTTTCCGATAGGCCGTAATTCTGGGGGCTCCCCATCATGGTCACAGCTGGAATGGCAACTGCATTGAGTTCGCATGGTTGCAAATAGCCAGTTTTCGCTACAATGAATCAGATTCATCTGAAGCCACTATACGCCACAAGCGGTCCAGAGACCCTTGCCCCTCACGTTGCGGCTAGGGCTGCTCCACATTTTCTTGGCACTATAATGGTTTTAGTATTGCGCTGCGCAAAATGCCAAATGTTGCTTTTGAAATGCAGAAGAGTATGGTATATTACACGGTACTTGAAACCCACATACCACAGTGTGTATGTTGAGGTGAACTACTTTTTGCCAAATATGACACACTATTGGGTTGAAGTTCCAATAATTGTTAAAAAATAGTTTCCTCAACTGATGCTGTCTTTTGTAGCTTCCCAAGCTGGCGTGTATGGGAGGTGTTGTTGTGCTCTGTTGTAAGGGTGCTATGGTTGAGGTGCGTTGAGCCTGGTGGCGTCTAGAGGCCCATTCAGGGGCATCAGGATGTGTGTCAACAACACATAGCCCTTGCTGCACACCCAGATCACAATGTACTCAGGCTGTGCAGTAATCGCAAAGCTGCAGAGATCTGCACCAGGCAGCTCCCAAGTTCATGCCTTATCATATCAGTTTGGGCATTTTCAATGCTCCTTGCAGTGTGAGGATGTCGTTGAGACACATAGTGCAGAATTTCTCATTTTTCATTGCCACATGCATGTGTCTGAAAATTGAAGGGAACTGTGCCTGAATTTTCAATTGACCTGGGTTTCGCATTGCAGCACCAGTTTCTTTTCCTGTCTGTTGTCAAGAGGGCTGCCATGAAGTTGTTCTTCGTTTGTGCTGTTGTCAGAATCAGCAGTGTCCAAAGAATATTTGCAAGTATTGGACGTCAGCATTCTCCGCAAAGTGTATATGCATTGTTGAAGTGTACCTGCCTCTGGCAGCTGAACAAACAAATGAAGAGAATAAAAGGATAAGAATGGAATAGAAAAGAACGCCAGGCTGGAAATGGATTTGGGATATCCCAACTGTGAAGTGCTTGTGCCATAGATTGGACTGAAGTGCACCTATTTTGTACTGGCATCGGCTCATCGCTGCCTGGAAAGGATGGTGGCTTTTTCTGCTTGCCAGAGTGTTGTTTTCTGGAGTTTGGGCAAAACACAACCATGCGGCCTTACCATGTGAAATGAGGAGAGATGTGTGGTCTGTGATCAATGTAACCATAGGTTATTTCTCAAGGCCCATGGAACTGTGCATACATGTTTGGCGGCGAGACATCGTTCAGTAGGAGAAAGGGTACTGATTCATCTTGTTGACCACAATGCACTGATTGTGCTTCATGGCGATTCCATGTCTTGGGGTCTCTAAAAAGACGTGGCAGAGCCCTTGCACCTTGCAGGCAATTATGGCGGCGGCAATATTGTCCATTATTAGCCGATGTCCTTAGATCTTGGTCTCACAATCTGCCCACATTTTTGGATTGTGATGACTTTGGGTTGGCTGCCAGTTTGATGGACAAGACCTGTCTATGCTCTATGATGCTGTGTTTGCTGCATGTATGGGCTAAGCATGCTGCCCGCAACTTGGCGTTGCGTTGTTCCGCATGGAATGCAGCGAGGATCATCTCAGTCCACCGAGTGCAACGCACTGACATTTGCGCACGTGGCTTGTCCAGACCGACGCCTACCTGGAAAGGATGGTGGCAGGCCTCAGATCCGGCAGGTACAAGGCGCTTATCATGGACGAGCCCTGGGTGTCGTTGACTACGAGCAGCGGTGGCTGCGACCTGAGGAAGCTGGGACAGACGATCGAGCCCTTCGACTACGCACTGGCCTTTCCCGTGTCGGCGCCCAGAGGCCTGGTGCACAACTTCTCGAGGAGCGTGCTCGCCCTGCAGGAGGCCGGTGTCCTGGAGAGGCTCATCGATGAGCACATCAACGTCCCGAGAAGGGGCTGTCCACCGGAGTCGGGATTCAGCGAGACAGAGGCGGTGCACCTGGAGCAGGTGGGGAGTGCTGGGCCCGGGGCTCATGGAGCCTGTGGTTTGCCTGGAGTGGGACAAGGATTGGGACTGGGTTTGGGTTTGGGATTGGGATTGGGAGGCGCTGAAGCAGTCAAAAGCATGTGAAGGGACAGGGGGTTGCACTGTGGCAGGCGATGAAGGGCAGTGCTTGCTCTTGTTGCGCTGAGTGTGATCCCAAAATACAGTCCTCGATGTGGACATAAACGTATGTATAAAAACGAATATAAATGAAAATAGAAATAAAAATAGAAAAACATGAATATGCATGTGAATATAAATATGCGTGTAAAAACATAATAATATATGCACGCCTACAATAATGAACATAGATATACATACATGCGCACACACATGTATTACTTCGAAGGCTACTATAAGGAAGTACATGTGCACACATAATGTGCCGTGTTGCTGAGTCGAATGTGGGGCCCACCTAATTGTGGCATCTTTGAACATTGCCGCACAGGTGTTGGGTCTATGGATCATTCTGGCTGTTGCCATCGGCGTTGCTGCAATCCTCTTGGTGTTCACCATCGTGCACAAGATGCCCAACGAGGCCCCGGCGATCAACAGCTCGGGCAGGCGGCGATGGACGGTCCGGGTAAATACCCGCAAGCGCCTGCCCACGTCCTACCACGCAAAGGCCACGGCGGACCTGCAGTCTAGAAAAGTGGACCTCGTCCCTGGCCTCAGTGCGTCCGCAGACTACGAGACCATGCGGGAGGACATGAGGGTGATCAGGGCAGATTTGTCGAAGATGCTTGGCGACCTGGGACGAGCAACTGAGGGTGGAGCGCAGCACGCGCATTTGCGGCACCCCTCGTATGACATGCGCGAAGGGCCCAGGTGACGCCCTCTATGTCGTGCCCCCTTCCCTGAAGGTAGAGAGAGACCGACAAAAGAACGATAAAGGAGTAAGATGCTCTTTTCCCAACTTGCTCCTGCATGGTCCCTTGCCACCGACTGGTGCATTGGGCAATGGATGTGACCTGATAACCTCCTACCAGGACTTCTTCGAAGCACCTTTACTGCGTGCTGTTGCTCGGCAGTTTGCAGGCAGTCTTACTGCATGCATTTCGGGTCGAATCCAGTGACAAACGTGAGACTTGCAGTTGGGTCAGGTTTAGGAGTTGGCGTGCGCCAGAGCCTAGGTCTACAAGTTGTGAAAAGAGTTTTGGAGTGTTGTTAGCAGGGCTGTGGCGAATGAAAAGGAAGGGCCCAGAACTGTGAATTGTCAATGGGCCATAATCCAGGAATATACTAGTTTTGTGCTCACAGAGAGGGCGCAGAGCTTGGAACTGTGTTATACCAGGGCCTTGGGGCCTGGCCAGATGTAGTTCCTACATGGCAGCAGACCGACGCGGTGCCATAGACAGTGGACTAATCATTGGCCTGCGCAGAGAGGATTTGCAGGCACCTCATACTTCGATGTCCCGAAATCACACCAATTTCCAACTAGCGCAGATGCTTTCTTGCTGGCTGTGAATCTTGGAGCCTGCAGAGTGAACACGAAGTTTGCACCGGCAGCTGCCGCATCACCTCCCTCCACTGTGATCATGAGCAGCACCATTGTGGGATGCTCGCATGCAAGTTGCACGTGGACACTCCTGACACACTCTCCCCTCGTGGTGGCTCCGCGAAATAATGTGCGATCTCCAGTTGTGGTATCGTTGAATTCTGGACCTGTGCGTGGCTGGTCTGGCGGCGGCTGTGCTCCTGGCTGCCCACATCTGTGAGCACCTGGCAGGCAGATGTGCTGTTGGCCTTTCGCCAACGAAAATATTACCAGAGGGCGTCGCGATCGGCAACCTACTACACATAGTGTATGTACACTTTGGTCCATTACATTTGGGCGTGCTTCATCCCAGGCCGAGACAACAGGCAGCTCCTGTGGTGAGCTTTCTTCAAAACCCTGCCCCTTGCGGTTGCGGGCTGGTTTGCCTGATTTCCTTGCAACGATGCCTGATCACACAGAACCAAGGCATCCGTCGATGTGACGGACAGGTCTGTCATCTTTTAGAATACCTTTCGACAAGATGGTGGTGCCCTTGCATCTGTAGGCACGTTGTAGGCGATCACGGGCATGCCTACACCAGAAAACGAGGTAATGTCCTGCATCCATTCATTCTATCCGCTCGTCACCCTTGTGGTCGGACACTGCTGCATGATTGATGTACCGAGCCTGTTGACTTTGTGGTTTCTTGCAAATGTGCCAACCTGCCCATTAGAAGAGAGTGACATGTGCACAGTTCGAGTTCCCACAGAATGACCAACATTTGTTGGCCATTTTTGTGTTTGGTCACTGAATGAGGGCGCTGGCCGTTTGCCCCAAGGCGGCACGGGATGGGGTTTGTGATGGCGTCGTTTTCTGGTGCATTACTAAGGACGGTGCCCAGGGCCATCACAGCTATTGTCGGCGCCCGGAGGTGGAGACACGGCACTTGCTTGAGCCTTACATCAAGGTGGCCTTTTGACAGCTGTTTGATGGGCTGGCAGCATGGAGCCGCGGGGGCGAACACAGGGGGCAATCCACGGGGGTAAGCCGCGTGGGCGAGCTGTGGGGGCGAGCTGCGGGGTGTAGTGTGATAAAGTGTGAAGTGCAGGGTGATGCACCATGGCGACGCAGGATGCAAAGTGATGGGTCACGAAGTGTGATGCGAAGTGACATGGAATGAGAAGTGATGGGGGAGTGGTAGACGGACACTCTAATTGAGTGAACGTGTGAGTTCGCAGTGAGAGCCGGGCACGGCATGTACAGATACAAATATGGCGCTGTCCACCCCACCCAGTGGGGCAGAGGCTGAAGACTGAAGTCCTGGGGGCATGTAATACATTCCCGTCTGTCCGTGTGGCTGTGCGATGATGGGCTTGTGGAGGCAATGATATGGCCGATGATCACAAGTCCCACGCTGCCTCGTGGGTCGGTTTCTCAGGGCTGCTTTGTGATTTGTATGACCCTCACTCAGAATCCGTGGGGTTGAGTGTTGGAATTCAGTATGCATTGGCACTCGCGGTGGGTGCCACTCATGATTGGGCGCCGGGGGTGTTGATGGTGAAGTGGAACGTGCACAACAAGGTGATTGCGGGCTGCAAGGAGCATCAATCACCCTGCCATGATGGGCGTGGTGCCACCAGCACTTGGTAGGGGGCCTTGCCATCTTTTGTCGCGAGGTGGGGGTGGCATGGCCGCAAACACTTGATGTTTTTACTACTGAGTTGCAAAAATGGAGCACCGGTCAGGGCAACATGGGCACATTGCCCTGGTGTGTTTGACCGGGTTTTCCTTGCAATGCGGGTGAGAAGGCGTACCGAAGGGCAAGGCATGCAAGTCCCATAGGGCGCAGCGGTCGTCAACGACCGAGCCCAAGTTTTTGGCTTTCATTTGCATCAACTCTGAAAATCACGTTGTCGTTTCGTGGGTGATGCTGGGCATGGTTCAACAGCACACAAGAAACGCCGTTGGTTTTGCGAACCCCACCACCCTGAAAGTGATACATGCGCCTCCCTCTTGTGTGTGGGCACTGCACACGGATTTAGTGCTTATAGGAATGGGCTTTCTGGATACAGACTCTGGCCCACAGCTCAAAAATTGTAATTTTGGAATCTAATTACAGGAAGTAGTTTCGCTGATCATGGTAGAATGCAACTGCTCCCCAATGTTTTGTCCCTGGTGGTCCCACAAATGTCCGATCCCCTTCATTCCCGAAGCTCATGAAGGTCATGAAATCCATTTTCTTGTTCTTCATTGAAAATCAAATTGATTTTGTTGGCTCCAGGTTTCTTTCAGAGCCTTTGGACCGTTCATGGACCCTTCGTAACTTTCATCTCTGGAAACTACTGGCATCAGAATGAAGTCGTTCGTCTCAAAAGGGGAATTGAAAATCGGGGTGCCCATGCAAATTCACTTGCGTGGGTCGTGGACACAAATTTCCGATGAGCCTAATTCCTGGACATGAAGTCATGAAGGTCACGAAGGTGATGAAGGTCATGACATCATGAATTGATGAACTCGTGAAGGTCATAAAGTTCACGAAGGTCAGTTTTGAGCTTAGGGAGTCTCAGAATTTAGGATCGTAGGTTCCTAGTACCCTTCACTACCTTCATGACCTCTTCATAACTTTCATATCTGGTAATGATAGGCCTTGGACAATCCTCGTCGTGGACGGTTTCCGCGCTGGTATGAGTCTGCATCGCCACTACTGCCGCCAAAACACAAAACACTTGGGGTCGGCCGAGGGAAACACGTGCCGCTTCCGCGTGCAATCCTGCAATGTTGGCCAGTGTCACTGGCCCAGTGACAGGTGCAAGGTTGGAAACGAGAAAACACTGATGTTGCACCGAAGGCCTTCATCGCGTCATAGAAAGGGTTGGATTGCAGCGATTGGATAAGCGACTGAAAGGTTTTGCGTGCTGTATGCAGTGTCCCGGGCGGCGTGATGGCCAAACGGCGATCCCAATCCCGGATTTGTGCGCGCCTGCTGCAGCCAGAGGACTGTCCAAGGCCTATCATTACGGGATGTGAAGGTCATAAAGGGGTCACGAAGGTCACGAAGGGTACTAGGAACCTGAAAGCCTAACATCCAAACACCCTAAACAGGGAAATGACCTCCATCACCTTCACGACCTTCATGACTTCACGACTTCATGACCTTCACGGCCTTCTTGGCTTCCTGTCTGGAAAATAAGGGTATCGGACATTTGTGCAGCGGATGTTGCAGTGAATGCTTGAAATTCGAGTCGATGCCCGAACACAAAAATTGACCGGCCAGCGGCCCAGGCACAGTTGGACACACCACAAGCAGTGGCTCATACCTCAGCGTCGCATCGCCGTATTCTGGCAATCGACATCGTCGCCACAAGCGTTTCAAAATGTACAGAAATCAATTCCCACTTACAGAGACATTGTAACCGGCTGAAAGATCAACTACAGCAACAAAGCATGCACAAAAGGACATGCCCTTTTGTTCATCCAAGGTGGTGCCAAAAAGAAAGGTCATCATGTACACCAGCGTGACGATGGCTGTTTGGGTGCCAAAAGCCATCGAAGGACATCTGGGCAATGTGCCTGTTGGCGTATCGTCAGCGACTTCGTCCCCACTTTCCTTCGGCCTTGTTCTTGGCTATTTCCTTCGCAAACTGCGTGGCCATCTGCCGCATGGTGATGGAGATGCGGCGCTCTTTCACTGACGGTATGCAGTGTTGTGCCTTGTCGGCTCCCGCCCCCTATCCACGAGACGCACATGTTAACAGACAATTGTGCATCGGCAACACACAGTAAATTGAGACATGTGAGGCCGCTGCACCTACTGTTCAAAGACCCGTGAACGTCTAAGGATAACATGCAATGCACCAACAAAGAATGGGTTGCAGGAAGACAAAAAATCGTAAAGATATAGGACTTGCGGTAGGAACCATGGGCGGCATCCCCGTGGACCTGCCAGTTCGAATCACGTTTGCAATAATGATCACAGACCGGGATACAATATATATGTATGGCACACCATTAAAACACAGTTTTCCGTCATTCAGTATGGTTGAAGGATGACAACACGGCGATTTTTTCACATTTGGCTTCAATTGGTTAGCCCCACCCCACCCCACCCCTCCACTCACCCAGCCGCCCATTCATACCCAGACATTACCACACCGTCACAACCAACCTTATGTCAATTCAAACCCAAGAGCGATAAAGTCATCATAGCGCCATGCGGTGGCTTGTGCACAGATCGTGCGAAGTGAACAGTGCTGTTTGGGGACAATGTGCACCGCACTTGTGTCGTCAGCATTCTGTGCACTGCAACAGAAGTGCACTGCTCTGCTGTGTTGGCAAACCCATCCAATCACATTCCAGTCACAATTGGTCACACCCAAAGCCGATGGGCCGCACCTTCAGCACAAGACAGGACCGTGGGGGCAGCATGATCTGGTAGGGGCTGCTGAAGTCTCCTGGCCCCAACACCTGGATCGATCAATCAGCCAGTCAGTCGATCCACAAATCAGTCAACATCACAATCAACCCAACAAGAAACGCATTTTTTCACAAATTAACCAACCAATCACAAACGGATTGCCAGGAACACAACACCAAGGCAGCGCCTGCAGGAGTGTCGGGTGCACAAGCCACGGTGGCCAACCTAAGCCCCCAGCACCTGGATATGTGTGCCGAAGTTGATGGGCGCGGTGGAGAGCAGGGAGATCGTCACGAACGGCCGCACAAAGTCATGGTTGTCGATGTGTGGTGGGATGCAGTCTCCGGGCTCATAAACGTTCACGATGGCACTGTCTGGCTGGCGGTTGGCAGGCAGCACGCCCCAACGCACCAGGCGCTGGGCAAGGGACACCAGCACAGGGGGCATGTCCTCAACGGGGTCCTCCACCAGTATGCCTGAAAAGCCCACAACAGAGTACAGTGGCAGTAGGAACAAGGGTTAAGAGATATCATTCGAATCATCGGCATGAGTTCCATAATCACCTTTGCATCAACAAGCGCCAATGATATTGATGTGCAAACTATGACAAAATAATGCTGCAACCCCAACACAAGTCTCCTTGATGTCCTGGCAATGGGGTGTTATCGTGTCTCACTAAAGCTACGACATGTACTGCAGTGGGTTCAGGAGCCACGTGCCCACAATGAGAGCTTCACCTGCACCTTAGTGATTTGGTGCTATTCTATTTTATCCTTTCTATCATATACACCATATTTTGTCCTTCCTACTGTTGCTCCAGCAATGCATTACACTATTAGATTTATCTAACACAAATGAAAGCACATAATACTGCCAGTGGAGTGTTGTGTGACACCTGAATCGTATTGAACTTGCAGGTAAGTGACCTGTGTACACACCTGGGGGCCGCCCTTGTCCGTCAGTGGCATAGTTGTAGCAGCATCCGAATTGGATAGTCCTCCGCCCCTTGCCCCTCATCCACTTGCTAGGGGCGGTGTACGTCCGACCAAGCATCCGTTTCTTTTCTCCCTAGACAATCGCACATGGAATTCTCACGTTCTCGGCAGAAATTGATGCATGCAGACATTGTAGATTTCCACAACGACAAACACCGGTCAGCACATTGAAGTGCCCCACCACCAGCCGTTATGCAATTGCAGCTAAACTTGTGGATTCAGATCTTGTGGATTCAGAGTCCAGCACCGCGTGAGCAGCTGTGGTGCGCACACCAACTCTTTGGGAGCGAATCCAGGTATGCATGACACTGCCCCTTGTTGCCTTGAGAATGCACAGCCTTGAACAGAGGCCAAACGCAACCCAACTGGAACTCCCCAAGCAAGGGCCACACACCAAGCTTAGCCAGGCCTCCACTTTCTCCACGAGGTTGTTCTGCTCCTCTAGACTTAGCAAGTTTTCCACCAGCTCCAGCCCAGCCAATACATTCCTCATGCCCTCCCCTTTGACGTGCTCCCTGTGCACAAAGTTGCTTGTGGTTTTGAGTTGCTGTCGCCGCTGCCCGTCTGTGATGCTCCGTTCCGACACAACACGCAAACCTGCTCTCAATTCAGCATCCTCAGCATCCCCTTGCAATCCTGGAACAAAGGCAAGGGGGTCAGTGGCCATCCAGCAGAATGCAGTACAGTGGCTTCTTCAACAATGCAGTACACTGCTTTCTTTAACAATCCCCGAAAGTTTGGCATGTAACCACCACCAAAGCAGATGCAGCCATGTGTCTAACATGCACATCAAAATCAGGACACATATGACACACAAAGTAGAAAAGAGGCTGACACAGATGCACATGAGCAAACACGGTGGATGCGAGAGATCGATGACATAGATGCTGCTGCACACCTGTAGCACGATGTGGATGTGCAAAGACGCAGATGTACAAGATGCCATTTCAAACATACTGCACCTTGTGATGGAGCAGGTTGAGCACTCCCATTCATCTTGGCGACTGCCCCGAATCGTTGCACCACGAGCGCCTTTACCCTATCCTTTGTCCACACATTGACAGGCTTCCAGGCAACAGGAGACTCACAATCCTCTGACTTGCTGGTATGCGATGCTGGCTCCACATCTGTGTGCACAGCCTGAGCTGGTGATGTGCCCAGAGCTGGCCAGTGGCTCACCATAGCTGGGCCTGCTACCAACTGCCTGGGGATGGGCTTGCTGTGCAAGACATCATGATCAGATTTCACGGCATCTTCCCTGAGGGCAGAATGAGCTGAGGCATCTGATTTAGGCGTAATAGCATCACAGGGCTTGCCTTCATCATGCTGGTGCCCTCCATCACAACCGCACGCCAATCGTATACTGGAGACAGGCTGAAGATCTCCAGACCCTTCCCCGGTAAGCAGTCCAGCCCTGCATGCATCTGCATCCTGATCCGTCAGTGAACTCACTTCCAGGGCTTGCATTTTCTTCTTTGGGAACTTGCCAAAGCCCCCTTTCTTTGTCAGCTTTGCAGCGACTCCCAATGTGGGGAACATCTCATTATATGCCTGATCGCTGTTCATGTCGGTGCCCAGTCCACGAGTCGTTCCTCCCTGATGCCCTGATGGCAGTTGAGGCTGCTCTTGCACCCCATTGGCCAACTTCCAACCACCCTGGCTGCTTGACTGCGGCAACGTCATCCTTGACCAGGCGGAGCTTGCAACACTTGATTCTGTGCACCATGCACTGCTGGGCCCCTGGGGACTCGGGACTAATGTGTCTCTGCAGTTGGGCCTGGCCTCTTTTTTGGGTGGTTCCAGAGGCTGACTCAGAGGATGGATGATCCCCCTCTTGCAGTGCACTACCTTGCTGGTGGCAGCAAAACCACACTCAGCGATTGTACAAAGTGCTCACAAGGCAGCACCACCAGGTTGGGATGATGTGTGGTAAGTGACAATGGCAATATGTCTGAGCACAATCACCAACTTTCGATGAAACACCATTATCCCAGCATGTTGTGTCCACACAGATTATTCAAGAATGTTTGCAGATTTTTGCCTCACCTGTTGCTGGGAGACATGGAGCTTGCCGATAATTGCAGTTCTGCCGAATTTGAGGAAATGCGGCTAAGGGGATGGACACCAGGACCAGGCAGCGTGCCCTTCCTTTGCGGCGCCATGCTAGGGCCCCTTTCCCGAATTCCAAGCAGTGCAGGTTGTTCTGTGCTTGGCTTGGGTTGGGCAGATGTTGACCTGGCACTGTCTGCTATGGGCTTGTTGCTCAAGGACCCTCGGTGTGCACTGCGTCTCCACGGTTTGTGGGAGCTCAACCTGACACAACACAATGCTCAGCATACACTGCTCAACGTGGTGAAAGAAAGAACGGCGACCGAGGCAAACCAGCGCCTCAGCACCTTATACACGATTTTGGCCGTGGAGGAAATCGCAGCTTCAGCCAGAACAGAACTTGTGCATGATGTAGGTCCAGGCTTTGGTTAAGAAAGCGCGATGATTAGCAGCAAAGGCTCTCATCGCTGCCCCTTGCTGCAAGCTTGAATTTTTGAACAGGGTTTAGACACAAGGATGTAGTTGAGCGCTGTACTCTGCAGACTATCGTTTCAACAGGAAAAAGCACAACATAGGCAACCCCCTCATGCAAGTTTTTTGTGAGCCTCTGCACCAAAATGCAGAAATCTCCAGGCGCAACGTGAATGAAGCACAGCAGATAACGACAGCAAAGGGTGCTGCCAGCAGACGATGCTGAAACTTTCAGCAACTATAGAAAAATCGGGGATCACTTTGCTGCCCAAGACCACAGGGGGCTCAAGAAAAGAGAGAAAACGCTCAACAGGCACTGGAGATCAATGCATTGATCAATCGAACAATCGTCTGCCACCACCGATTGGCAGCCTCCGCCACTCCCGAACGATACCCACCTAAAAGTCACCAAACACCGCCCAGAAAAGAGCCATACTCAAGGCAACTCCAATCAAGCAAAGGAATGCAGCAGGGGTCTTTCATTATGGCACCTGACGCTTCCATCTGGTGGCCAAAGGGACAGATGTGACTCTTAAGACCGGCGACCGCGCTTCCATTTCCCCCATTTTGGCGACGGGCGGCCTGTCGCCGTACCGATGGCGTCCCGCCCGCGTCCGGATCGCCCAGCACAACCCACCGGACAGCGGTGGCCAGATCTTTCCTTACCCTCTGCCGCCCTGTCAGCCGAGGACAGCCCTGCAGCGGGTCCCGTGTGCGGACGTCCTGGTCCCTGCGGCCCCTGTTCTCCGCCGCCTTATGGGCCGCGCTGGTAGGACGCACTGCTTCCTCGGAGGACACTGCGAGGAAAACGGGAGCGGTGGTCACTCGTGGGAACAATGGGTGGCTTTTTTTGACGTTCGGCAAGTTTTCACTGACCACCTTCTGGCCAGGTCGGTCACTCGCGATGGAGGCGGATGATGGGTCCCATATGGGGATGAGCTGAACGTTGTCAGGGATGGCCTGGGTAGGCCACCCTTGCGCGAATGCGCACAGATGAAAGAAGGGAATACACTTTTGATTGCGGGCCACGTCGAGCGGACGTTGCGAGGGTCAGGTGGGCGAGGTGGAAAAACAGGGAGGCAAGTCTTGGCTGAAGAAGCTCTAACGCGTGTCCGCAGTGTTTGATCCCGGCTGGGCATCTCATGAGAGCGCTCAACAATTGAAGGTTTGTGGAAGGAGCCCGTGTATCCTGGCCTCATGAGTTTGGGATTTATGCAACTGGTAGGCGCTGACAATGCCCTCACTCTGCAAGGGCAATCCAACTGCTGTTGCTTGCAAGGAATTGCATTCGGCCTGGTCGCTAGGGGCTTTGCGTCGACATGAATGCGGAAATTTCTGCGATATGTAGATTTTATTTTGGAACCTCTTCCAAATTCACGCGCACATGTACGCCAGGCAAGCAATCATGTGCCCAGGCAGTGCTACTCTCAATGCACGACGGAATATGAGCTTTCAGACAATTCTTGCATCTCTCTACACCTGGTGATCTTTAACCTGGGATTAGCAGTACCTACGCTGTACTTGATGGCGACTGTATTTGCTACAAATAAGTGGTTTGCTTTGAGGTAAATCGGATATAAAAATGATCAAAAAGATTGAGACATTTGAGACCGGTTGAGACTGATAAATATTGACCCAGTGCATGCTCAGGAACGCGGTATCCGCTGGACGTGTTCATCAAGGCAGATCGACAAACAATTACCGCATTTCACTTTTTCTTGACCCATTCGCTATTTGTGCAAGGATTTTAGCCACAGAACACTCAGTCGACGTCGACCATGCTCGCAAAACGTGGCAAATACACGCCAAACATTCAATTTTGCTGGTAAAAGCACTTGCTCCTATGCATTGCCCAGACTTCGCTAACTTCCGCCGTGTTGCGCAGTGCCACCTTGGACCACCAAATGGTTCGACACGTCCGGGAACGGCAAAGGCGTCGAGAGCATCACCCTGGCACCTGCGACCTTACAACATCCTCAGGGTATGTCAATTAACCAGGCATTGCGACTAAGAGACTCGTAATTCCCATCTCACTGGCATTGAAATAGTCCCAGAACAATCGCAGATTCTGTTCTAATTGCTGCCAGCTGCTGGCAGCCAGTAGGATTCCAGGTTGGTCTGGGCTCCCGTAGTGGTCCAAAACAGTTGAACGAAATGCTTGGTGGCGAGCTTCATTATTCAATGAGTCTAAAGTCCATCCTCTGGCTCCTGAGCCGCGATCTGTGATGGCGCCGGACATGGGAGCCTACATTTTCCACGATATTCACGAATTCGTGGCCTTGTCAAGATCCCCAAGCTACTGGAAACTATGCGATTACCCATATATGGCGACACCCTCCCCATGAGAGATCGAAGCTCCATTGGCAAACTTTCAGCTTCCAAGCGGACGCTGGTGGGCATCCATGAGCATCCAGCTCTGCCAGCATACCTGATCTGAAGTCTCGAGATTTGCTCAAGATTTTCATGCGCATGGCGTGGCCGCGTGTTCGCTGGCCAACTTTGATCGTGTGATCTTCATGCGTGGAGTGCTCGAAGGGGATGGTGCATCCTGAACCGCAGCAGATCCAGATTCCGGTGCTCTGCTTGGCCGGCGAAACGCGCATCTTCATGAGCCATTGTGTTCATCAATACAAATTTGGCAAAGTACAGCAATCGATATCTTCAAGCTCTGGCAGGTGGTCCCTGCCAGGAAGTTTTGTTCGGAATGATTTCAGTACACCGTGCATGCTGAAGCCGCTTTCTTGAAATTTCTTCACTGCGGAGACCTCCGAATGCACTGAATAGCCACATTCCGTTGCAAGTAAGGTGGTGCTTTGGCTTCAGGAGCCGGTCGTTCCAGCCGTGATATCGCATTTGGCATTAAGTACAGAATGCGAGATACAACCTGTTAATGACAATTCCTTCCGCTGCAGGTAGTATTGTGTCAACAGCGAATATTCTTTGTATGCTGGGAAGCTCACATTGACAGCGCGTCTGCCCGAATGCAGCAAAATTGACGTCATTCAGTATCGATTCAGGATGTTTTTCCTACGGACGTGTCCATGGTTGGTAAACATAGACGCCAAACCCGCTCAGCGGCAGTGTGCTTCCGAAGCACGTGTGAAAAACAACTAATTCAGCATGAATGTTAAGCCAAACCAAAGGAACTGTGTCCAATTTCGCATATCATAAAAACGGACAGCTGTTGTCGCATTTTGCAGTCGCCATTCATTCCCTGTGCATCACCGAGAATTTTCTTACATTTATGCAATGAGCTTCTATTCCGCGTTGTTAGTATCACGTCAAATGGCCCCGATGCGTCACACAAGGACAACTAGATTATGTTATTCGAAGGAAATTCGCATATACAAACGCACCCAATTATCCGACTATTGCTCTAAAAGGCTTAGCGATGCTGCAGCCGCAAGGAGCGCCAGCGATGCGCTCATAAAATGAACCATTACAGATCTGCACGAAGACTCCTCGTCGTCGTCGTCGTCTAGATAGTAAACGGAGTCGGCCTTGACCTGAGAACCTGAATGATGTAACAATAATCAGTTTTGAAGCAACATGCCTTGATGCAAATACCATAAAAGGCAGTGCAAACTAAGTAATGTTTGGTAAACTTCGTGAGGTGACACTCGAAGGCAAGAATTGCCCTTTCTCTCAGCTTCCATCAGCGATTGCGAGCTGAATTGTTGAAAATCGTGTTTTGGCACATTGATCACATGCCTTTGTTATCCAATCAAATCTATTATGAGTTTCACATTGACGACGACTCGCGAGTATGTGAGCATATATGACAAATAACTACGTGCATAGGCAAGTTGACTTCATTTCGGTTCTATTCAACTGCTACATTCCAGGATTAAACGACGTGTACGATGAGCAAGACAATGCAAAACTATGTAGTTTTAGTGAGTTCTTTAACTCCAGTGGTTTCCATTGAATGCAGCCCATAAGTTGCGCATATGCGGTTAACTGAGCCGCCTAGACATTTTACTGCTTTCGATTCTGTGCCAACTCAATTTCCCTTGCAAAACTGCTGAAGGCACAGGTTTTCAGCACTGCGCAGCATTTCAACACAAGATACGGAAAGACAATGATGAGAAGCAAAGCAAAGTCCAAAAGCCATGCACCTCAGCGGCGTCCCGAAAACGGCAATCATGAGGAAATGCGTGTTTCATCCAAACGCTCTGACGTTGGCCACCCTCACCGATGGTGAAATTCGTCATGAACGAATTTCTGTTTGCCCCGTGGTAGCTGAGAGAATCTTCGTCCCCATGGGCGGCGTTGGTGCGAACTGGACCCGCAGTGATGTTGATTGGGAACTGGCCCGCGTTCATGGCACGCGTGAATTCGATGGTGGTGACGCCATCCAGCTGGCTGCCCCTCACGTCGGCGAGAGGGATTGCGGGGTCTTCATCCGAATCCGAAATTCCCTTTCTCTGCTCCCAACAAGCGAATGCCAACTTACCGCTGAATTGAGATCTGGGGTGAGACCATATGGAGTGAGACTATTGGAGCGGATTTTGCACAAAGTAAAATGCACGTTGTACAGTGTGATTGGCGTAGTTGTGCAGAATCATCCCCCCATTGGCCTCTCTTGGATGCACTACCGAGATGTCGCGAATCGCCTGAATGAGGAACATAGTGTTTCACCAGGCCGAAATTTCTTCCAAGCCTGGCACTCGTGAGCAAAACAAATACCACAAACATGCACCGGGAATATAGATCCGGTATCACACAACATCGAAAGCGCAATTTGTATGGCTAAAATTAGTCGCAAATGGTATCGCGTCAAAGTAATGCATCACCTTGCCCCAACCTTGGATTTATAGAATTTCCCTATCTGAATCTTGCCCTTTTTATGTTCTGTGTTTTGTATGTAATTGGAAATATTCAATCAGTACTATCCATTATGTATTTTGTGCAAATGAAAATTCGCACTTCGCTATTAATAAGAGTTGCGAGAAAAGTCGAAAGAAGGAAGCAGCGGCAGCTCATTGTCACAGGATAATCCGCGTGTCCGAGTACCAAGGATGCTCCGGTGTCTTATGCTAGCATTAGGCGCCCCACCATTACATCACCAATGGTAATGATTGGCTGCAAACGGATACAGCAGTAATGCCGAAAGCATCGAATTTGCTGCCAGGAAGTGCATCAGGGTCATAACATGCCCCGTCGCCTGTTCAATATGCACCCAGCTGTACTGTAGACTTCGATATCATGACCTATCCGTCGCATTATTACACATTTTGTAGTTGCAATACCGCTGCCCACCTTCCCAGCACCAACTGATGTTGAGATACAATCCAAAGGCAAATAAATGCATCGAAAAATACCTGTACGCGTCGATTTATACGAACGAAGCCAAGCACACCTGGAGCTAATATCGCTAGTGGATGTAGCGCGATTTTGTCGGACTCTTGATGGCCATTCTATCGGCAAACAATTGCATCAAGATTTCCAGCAGTGGCGCCCATGGCTGGCTACCTCAACGGAAACTTCATATCAAATTCGAGGGCAGCTATGGCGACAAATGCTGCCCCTTGAAGCCGAAAACGCTCACATGCAATGCAATATAAATTTGAGCATTTTCCTGCAGCAGTAACCCGCATACCCACCGTTATTTTGTAGGACTTCGCCACGACCGTTCCGCCTTCCTCCACCCACCCCAGAACGGCGTCCGCGGGATTCATCGCCAGGGCACTGCCTCCGAAGGCGAAGCCCAGCCATCCTGTAGTGTTGCCTTCCATCAGGATGGAAATGTCGCCCTTGCTGGGGGTGGGCGCTGAATCGTTGAATCCGGTCCCAGACACGGGCCCCACGACCCAGTGCACGGTCATGGCGTCAACCCCGGGGATCTGCAAAAGGACACAGCGCACTGTGAGCAACACGGACAATCATTAAAACAATTATTTTGAAAGGAATTCCCGATAAAATTGCTGTAGATAAATGTGCTGCCTCTCAGTAATTCGTTTACCATATTTACCCGATATTGGTATGTGCACGGCTATATCCCCCCCCCCCCCCAAAAAAATTAATATCCACCCCTCTTTCTGGGATTCTGAAACCACGTTAGTCTCCATGATCCGATGTCAGTATACACCCCAAGGCCTCAACAGAAACGAGCTGCAGAGGGCTCGTTGGATTCACCTCGGAGAGAGGAAGCTAGTTTGCACGTCTTTGCTTGCGCAATACTCTTGCGGCACGATTTCAACGTGCAGCAACTGCCGCCATCACCTCGTCCTGTAGTTCCGATGTTGTGTATGCGACGCCTGCAAGCCCTACAGCTTGAGCAGCTAATCTGATGGGAAAAGAGGCTGTTTGCTTCGCGATCGGCAAGTTGCTCCCCAGCAACTGCAGGCGATGCGCCCATGGCACACTTAAAGACCTGGAGTCGTCGGCATTGCCTGGAACGATATTGCGAGGAATGCACTGCATGATGTTGAGTATAAATTGGCTTCAGTACCTGATGACCCAGGAGAAGACCCAGAAATTGTTGGTTAATGATGTATATGGTTCTGCATCAGATATTTACAGAGATTGATTGCGAATGCGTTTCCGCGTGCCAGGTTGGCATTTTGTGGTGGTATTAGCGCTGCCACGGCCAACAAAAAATGTTCAATAGCGTTTTGTCTATAATCTTGTAACTTTAATTTGGGGATGCATATGCTGCTACATATGTACTGTATTTGCAATATAACAAGTCCAGTTTTGGGCATTTCGTGGCCCAATTTTCAAAACTTTTCTCTGTCGAGTCCTTGGATCAGGGGGCTAAGCCGCATTAGTATGCATGACCCATTGTTAGTACTCACCGCTAATTTGGGGGCTCCAGTATACGTATACTAATTCCGGCTAAATAAGGTAAATATCGTGCCCAAAACTGTATTTACAGAATCCCAAGGCGCCTACACAGGATACCTCATTACACAAGCTCACAAGGTGCGACCATCGAGGGTTATATTAAGGTAAGCAAGACATGCAGTACTTCTAAAAAACATTATTAAAATAACGTTGACAAAACTTGCCAATATGCGAGCGTTTTATTCTAACAATGTAAATTACAGTCCCAATTTAGGTGAAGGGCAAATCAGCAACGCAAAGCCTGCTTGAAGGAATCAGGTTGTGACACCTCACTTATCGCAAATGACGCATAATTTTTGAAGTTTCATTTGTGTTGGTTTCATAGCAACAAGACGGAGCCGAATTTCGCACAGCCGTCCCATAATTTTTAATTAGAATTGCAATGACGCAAGCAATAAAAAATAAAGAGGTCAAACTTTTGTGCTGGATACTACAGAACAGCAAAGAAAGCCAATGATGTCAGGATTTTCGAAGAAGTGCTGGATTTCCAATCAGCATAATCATAAAGAGCTCATTTGAGCAGTTTTGATAGGTCCCAAATTAAACGGAAACAGAAGTGCTGCATGTTCTGCTGACCTTGCCTTATTTGGACAACACACTCGAGCAGTCGCTCTATTTTGTCCATTTGCAAGCCTTACTGCTGACGCAAAATTCACTAGTCTCAAGGTAACAACGTGCTTTTGTGCAAAAGCCGTCTCCAGTTGCACCCCAAACGAATCACCCCACGATCCATCACAGCACACTATTCCTCCACCCGCAATCGCGCAGAGACATCACCTCACCGTGGTCATGCACGCGTATCCATTCTTGTTGGACGCAAGCTGACAAGGCATCGTTGCATCCTCTTCGGGGGCGGCAGGGGCGGGCCCCGGTCCGACCGGAGTGGCATCTTCAACTTCTTGTTGCTCTGGGAACGGAACGTGCGCATTCAGCACGCGCGATTTGTCCGATACATCGCGGCGCGCCAATGGCATTGATCAAGTGAATTAAGTCACGGGTATGCCTTGTAGCGAATGGCTATTTTCATGACAGTTTCATGGGTGCGAGGTAGCAAGGTCGATTGCAGGTCAACTGCAGTGTCTTGTCTGCTCATGGCATTGATTGGTCTGATTTACATACAGCGCTGCTTCAGCTGGGGCACTGGCTTCGATGAAGCACTTTGCTTTATCAGACTTCTGATTTTATGGTTTGAAAATCCCGATAATAGACACTGATGTTCCATGAAAAACTTCTCGCAATTTCGATGTGCGTTATGTTGGTGTTCATCTCATTGACGGGGCCTGCCGATGCGAAACCTGACCGTATCGGCAGCGATTCCTTCAACGTGCTATATGGGGCTCCTGGATGCCTCTCAATGTCTCAAAGTCATTACAGCACTACAGAAAAGGAAATTGCTCCTTGTCAAGACAACAAAAATTCGGCGGCTTCAGAAGGCTGACGTTGATGTGTTCTAATCATTCATGTAGTTTGTATTATTGTGATTCTGTGTTCGCTTTGAATTTGCCATAGGCTCGTGGAATGCAATCGACTGACCTGCGACCAGGTCTGCTGTGAATGCAGCCCTGTTAGTTCCGTGATAAACAAGGCTGTCCTCGCCATCGGCACCGTGAGCGGCATTCACCCGAATGCTAGGGGAGCTGGCATTGATGGGAAACGCCCCCGCATTCAGGGCCCGCGTGTATTCGATGACGGTGACGCCATCCGTCTCGCTGCCGGCGATGTTGGTCAGAGGCACATCCGCATCCTCGTTACTGGCGGAAACGCTCTTCGCCTGAGCGCACAAGGATATGCGAATGATTCATGACAAAGCATGTCGGTGTATTTTTACTTCTTTCCTTAGGTGTTTGCAACTGTAGTCGATCGTTCTTATATATTGCAGGAAATTCACCGCGGAGATCTTCTGAACGCTCTGAAACATTACTGAGCTGACCAAAATGATGTGTGAATGCTGTCATAGTAGTCGCATATTCGCTTAGAATTTAAGGCCGGTTGATCCATATCCAGTCTCTAAACTCAATTTGTCTTGCAGCTGTTGTTCACGAGATTTCCGTTCAGTGGCGGGAGTTGAATTAAATATCAGTATCACAGGCAAACGCGCTTTTAACAGGCCTCCAGCAGAATTGTGCTTGTGAAATTCAAAGTACGAAATGATAATTCAGCACGCCAAGAATTTCAACATGACGCCATTGAAAGTAGAACATTGCGATTAATCAAATGCTCCTAATGCGCACATGAGTGCACTTTCTCTGCATTGCGTTGCCTTAAGTACTGTTTTGTATGCAGATTCTCCTCCTGTGAACCCACCGCGATTCTGTAAGACTTCACAACCACGGCTCCATCGGCCTCCACCCATCCCAGGACGGCATCCGCGGGGCTCATGGACAGGGCTGTGTCCGCGAAGGAGAGGCTCAGCCATCCGGTTGTGTTGCCTTCCAGCAGAATGGAAATCTCGCCGCCGCTGGGTGTGGGCGCTGAAGGAGCCAGGTTCTCTCCAGACACGGGGCCCAGCACCCAGTGCACGGCCATGCCCAGCCCTGGGGCCTGCGGTGGGGGTCCAAACCGTAATGTAAGTGAAAAGACCGGCGATCAGAGAAGCTCTGCGTGCAAAGATCAAATTCTGCACGCTTGGATGGACAACATGTTGAAGTGGGACTGCGAAAATCGGTTTCCAATGATGTGTTGTTGGCAACGATGTGTTATTAATAGTTCAGAAGTGGTTCGGTTACGGTATCAGCCGCAGCTTTGGAAAGACAAACAACAGACGGCATTTTGGGGCTTGGTGCTAAAGTACGGATGCTGATGCAATGCGGCAATGCAGAACTTACCTTCAGCATGCAAGCGTAGCCAGCTCTGTCTGACGCAGTTTCGCAGGCTCTATCCTGTTTCAGCTCTCGTCCAACATGCTGCGCCAAATCACACAGTGATAAGGAAGCCACAGCTCTGGAGGGCAGCACGCAATTTGTTATTTGAAACTTGGAATCTGGGGACGGGGCATGTGGCACTGCGCAAAGTCGATGGTCATCTTTTACTGGACGCTATGGGCCCTGCGAAAATATATTGTGATGTGTTTTTAGGCTTGATTTTATGCAAATTGATTTAAACTTGGTCAATCTACAAGTAAATTTTGGAGATCAATGTAATCTTGTGGCATATCTAAAGGCAAATTCAATGTGCTTTTTAGTGTTTGTGACTCTGGATTGCCGGGGCAAGAGCGCTGTTGTTCGCGCTGCTGTAGTATTGCTCGAGTGTCAGAGCGTCACCCTTCAGGTTAATTGCGGACATGCAATCAACCAGAGCTTACGTATCCTGATGAATCGATGCGAACCGATGAATCGATACGCATGCTGGGTTTGCGTATGCTGACAATATTGTCAGCACGCGGATTTCTATTGTGTCGTGTTCATGGATGCGTGCCGCGAATGGGGACATGTACGTCCATGCTTGTCCACCAACAATCTGGAACAGCGGTGACGGCTTTGTCGTCCGCGGCTGTGCGCCAATCGGCGCTCGGATCCGGGCGCGAACCGGCGGCGTGCCCCTTGGCCAGAAAGGCGGAAACGGCCGCTAGGGCGGACCGTGGCGGCAGTCCCGCCCAACGGCTTTCCGTCGTCCGCTTCTCAATTTGTTCTCAGCGGGATGGCGCCAATTGAATCTCGCCGATTCAAGGCCGTGCAGTCGCACAATGCTCAAGGGAACAGGCGGATGGCAAACTCGAGGTGAGCTCGCCATACCGACAAACGTTGTGCTCCCATCCCGGCGGCCCTCCTCGAGCAAGGGGCAAGCTCGTGCCAGCTCTGGAGAGCGATGATCAGATTGGCGCGTGGGCGGTGGAGACATGTGCTATTCGACGGGGGTCCAGTCGAAGGTTCCCCGCCGTCCTCCCATCAAGCGCAGCTCGCGGGAGCGCAATGGGGAGCGATTGATCCCGTTTTCAGCCTGCGCCCGTCGGCCGACCTCGTGGGGCGCAAGCTTCAGAGCTTCATCTTCGCGCAGCCCGCAGCTAGGCGACGACGCAGCCCAACAATCCAGCGGTCCACAAATGCACACAGACACCCCAATCTCACCATCTCCGAATCCCCTGCCGAAATCTTTATCGGCCGCACTTGGCGGCTGTGCACATCCCCAGATACCGTGGCCCCGTGGAAATCGATCCACTGTCAAATATGAACAGGTTTGGCCACACGGGGACGCACTCCGCCGTCGACGCTCACCCTCGCAACCCCGGTGCCGATCGACGAGCCTCTGGCGAAGGCGGGCGAATCGCAGGCCAGCAGGATGCACAGCAGCGGGAAGAAGGCACCGGTCCGCATTTGTTGTCTTCCCAGGTGCTCCGCTGGGCAGGGACGATCAAAGGCTCGGCGTGCGCGAGGCGTTGGCTGGGCGCACCGGCGTTGGTTGGGAGCGTGGGCGTAAATAAGCGGGGGAGGGTGGTGTGCGGATGTTGCGAAGGTGGCGCCCCGATTCGAAAGTTCCGATTCTCACACGAGTATCGAAACTTGCCAAGGGTTTCCGATTCTCCAGTGAGGAATGAGAGTTTGTGCTGGGACTTTGTGGCGTCCACGCAGCGGTGCTCGTGCCGCTTGCCCGTCACGTGAACGGGGTTATGGTAACAGTGGTAAAATGAGCGAAAGACTTGCTATGCCTGTCCTGCGGGGACCAATGAGGTAGCCACCAGCTTCTTATTTTGTCCGAGCAAGACGTGTCTATGTTCAGCTCATTGAAATCTCATGTATAACACAAGGTCTAGGAATCTATTAACTCCTATTGCCAAGAAGCGTTTGACGATCATCATACATCAAAGAAGTGCCTTTGCCAGTTGGCGAATGAGAACAAAGACGAATAGTGCTTTGGCTTTGCGATGTCGAAATAGATTTCATTGGCTGCGACCAATGTCATCGTAGGCATGGTAGTGGAGGAGAAAATGATTCTCATCTTCTGGAGCTGAGCAACGTCATGGACACAATCGCCCTGAAAATTCTGGAATGGACTGCCGTGCATGGTTTCCTTGCTGCTCGACCTCCAGAAAGTGAGCCCAACGACGAAATCGCAGGAAAACATCCTCAAGGAAATAGGATGCAGCGACGGCAGAAATCGTTCGGTGTATCGGTGGACTGGCTTAATGTGCCCATACCATCGCTGAATCCTCGAAGACTGAGAAGACACCGGCAATACGGACATGTTTGTAGATAAGTTGAAAAGACTGCGCGGCAACTGATGTAGCCTCCGTTGAACTGAAATCAGGCCAGAATCGGTGCCATAAAGCAATAATGCGTCCATACCACAATCGAGGATTGGATGAAAATTGCCGAAATCCGCACTTGAAAATGGCGCCACGTACCCAAGAGTTGGGAAGTTCCACCATTCGATTCCAGTATCTAACCGTTGGCGAATTGTCACACAACGAGAGCTGGGCGGGCCCAAAACCAAAGGCTTCATTGCAACCCCACGGCAAGGACATCAAATACAACATCTTTGAGCTGTGCCATGCCCTGGCGGTGTGAACTTCTCAAGTCCCGCCCGACCTACCCGAATCCAGTCCGTCATTCCACTATCCCTTCTGTTCCTCAGACCGACCGGTAGGCAGCCGCATCGCCCATCCCCCCTTGTACCGGCTCAGCCGGTACACAATCGCAGTTCCGTGCACCATGTCCCGCCTCCTACCCCCCACGCATCCAATGTGTGTCAGTTCACTATCACATCTTCATCGTCGCACGAGTTGCATGTGCCGAGTAATTGCCGTACACCCCATGCACTACAGCAAGAGGCCCGTGACGGTGAAATACCGACAACAGGCCGCTGATAGGCACGCGCGTCGAACGTCGCAAAGCCTGCACACCCGTCAGAAGGAATTGGTGTCCGTCGCGCTGCGTTTTGATGGTAGCAGTTCGCACATCGTTCTGGGCCCTTGGCAGGTACACCTTCCGCAACTGGGCCACCATCATACGGTGACCACGCACACGTGGAAGATTGGGATTGGTGCCTCCTTACGCTAGAGTCCATCCCGCCCAGCGCTTGAGAGTACCGCAACCTGGCCGCAAATGGAGTGGGCCTCCGCGGCGCGCGCGGCCAGGTCTTCGGCGGCGCCCGGCGCACTCAGACATGGCAGTGGGGGAGGGCCGGCGCCCAGGATCGCATGCTTTTGCCGCCCTGCTGCTGCTCCTGGCGCTACCCTGCTCGCTGTCACAGACGGACGTCGATGCCAGCGGGGGCGCACCCGCTGGGCTGGCGACTGCGTTTGTGGGTTCCGCCGTTGAGCTGCAGGCCGCCCTGTCTCCCCAGGGTGCCAGGGATGCCGATGCCATAAGCATTGAGGGCGACATCTTCGCGGACCCCCTTTCCTTCCTGCCAACGCTGACGGTGGGCAGGCCGCTGAGCATATGCGGCACAAACCGGGGTTTGACCTTGTCGGCGGTGGAGGAGTTTGCTGTGGTGGCCGTGAACGCGAGCGTGAGGTGGTGCGATATGACCTTCGACCTGACGTTCAAGAACGTGGGCGCGGACTCGCGGCTGGAGAGCATGATGTTCGAGGTGGGGCGGGGCGGGTCGCTGGTATACGAGAGCGTGGACTTCTACGTGGGGCGCGCCCTGTTTTCGAGATTGCTGGCGGACCTGGAGGTGGCCAGGGGGGCTGGAAACGGCACGGGGGACGTGAGGGCCGTGTCTGGAAAAGACGAGGTGGTTATCGAGTTCGTGGAGTTGGGGAGGGCGGTTTTGAGGGACGTGGTAGTGCGTGTGGAGGAGACCCCGCTGCGCGACCCAACCGAAAGGCAGAGGGCCAACAGCACGAGGGGGGTGTCCAAACTGACGGGCGCCAAGCAGATCAACACCGATCCGCTGGACGTCACCCTGGAGCACAACTTCACGGTGACGAAGTGCCTCCTGGACGCGATCGCCAAGGGGACGCCCATACCCGTCCGCCGGCCGCTCACGCTGTCTCCGCTCTCGTTCTGGG